TTAGCACATTCACTAAACTTAATGGTAGTAGTGGGTTACATTCAAGTATGTGTGAATGAAGCTTTTACTTAAAAAGCAGCATCAAACCACTTCTACCTTAAACACCTGGGGAAATATGTAAATTATAAATGAGTGAAAAGGAAAACAAGACTAGGCAAGATGGATCAGAATTGAGAGCTGTAGATTAGCTAAAGCGTAGACGAAAGATGAGAATTGTAAGATGTGTGGAGACTAAACTACACTAAGACCATCAGTTCTGCCTCTAATGGATAGACATGTCTACTGCATAAACATGAGTAGAGATGACTTGCAGGAGTCATCAGTGATGAGTTAAGGGGTGTCAAAGTCAACAAAAATCGATTCTATGAATAGTTGAGTAGGGAAAATGTGGACCTACTGCTGAATGGAGCAGCGACCCTGGTGACAAGAAATGGAAAAGACTAAGGTACCTAGACTGGGCTCAGTCTTTACTAGTAAGAGGGGTCTTCTGAAATCCTAGGACTTGAAGATGAGGGGGAAAGCATACCTGTGGTTGAAGAGGATCAGGTTACAGAATAGCTAAGCAAACTGGCCACATAAGTCCATGGGCTCTGATGGGATGCACCCATGAGTGCTGAGGGAGCTGGCAGATGTCCTTGTGAAAATATTTTCAATCTTTGAACAATTGTGGAAATTAGGAGGGGTCTCTGAGGACTAGAGGAAAGTAAATATCACTCCTACCTTCAAAAAACATCAAGGGGAGGACCTGGTGAACTATAGACTGGTCAACCTTACTTCGATCTCCAGGATGGTGATGGAGCAACTACTCCTGGAAACAGTTTCCAGGTACATAAACAAACCAAGGTCATCAGGAAAAGTAAATGAATTCACAAAGGGGAAGTCATGCTTGATGAACCTGATAGCATTCTATGATGAAGTGCCTGGCCTGGTAGGTGAGGGGAAAGCAATGCATATACTGCAGAGAGTTCAGCACAGGGTCACAAAGATGAAGAAGGGTATGGAGCATGGAGAAAGCTCTTTTCAGCAGTGCCCAGTGACAGGACACAGGCACATGTTGCCTAGAGAGATTGTGGAGTCTCCATCCTTGGAGACATTCAAGAACCACCTGGACGTGGTCCTGGGCAACTGGTTCTAGGTGGCCATCCTTGAGCAGGAGGTTGGATCAGATGACCTCCAGCAGTCCCTTCAGACCTCAAACATTCTGTCATTCAGTGATCACATTTCATAGGAGCAGTCATAGTGGCTCAGGCCTTGTAGCAATCTGGTTTAATATTCTGTTCCTTCATGTTGATGTCTCCTGATTCTTACGTTGGAAATGACTGCTAAATAATTCCTTATATACATTAGAATATCTCAAGCTGGAAGAGTCCAATTCCCTGCTCCTCCTAGGACTACCTATGACTAAACCATATGACGTAAGTGTTGTCCAGATGCTCCTTGAACTCTGACAGGCTTGGTGCTGTGACCACCTCCCTGGGGAGCCTGTTCCAGTGACCAACCACCCTCTCCATGAAGAACCTTTTCCTAATGTCCAATCTGGACTTCCCCTGATGCAGCTTCATTCAGTTTCCTCATTTCCTATCACTGGTCACCAGAGAAAGGAGATCAGCACCTCCTCCTCCGCTGCCCTGCTTGAGGAAGCTGTAGATTGTGATGAAGTCACCCCTCAGCCTTCACTTCTTTGATGCTTCCATTGGATTCTGTCATATAAGCTTCGGTTGTCATTTGTAGTATGAAGTGCCTTAATCTACTAAATTGTTCCTTATATGTAAGCTGGTTTATACTGTTGGTCATCTTTGACATAGTTTCTGATGCACTTTTTATTTTTCCAAATTAGAAAACAAGACTATGTATACACATGGTTGATTGAAGTTTTCTGTGTGCTCTTATTATATTTTCTAAAATTGTATTTGTGCTTTACTATCCTGACCATTGGGCCAATCTTAGTTATAGATGTTCTATGGGTAGTAATAGCATAGAACCTATGACTTTGTATAATGTTAGGATATATGAATTTATATATGTGTGTATATTAACTCCTAAGTGTGCCCCTCTTAGTTTGCTGCTTTGAATTTTTTTTATTTTCTTTTTGTTAACATTCAGATTGGGATTCAGCTACAGATTAAAGAGCTAGGCATCTGAACTCCTGTTGCAGTTTATAGAAAGATAGTACAATTACTTTTATTTGCTGCTTTTGTTCTGTAATTTGTCTTTAAGACAGTTGGCAGCACCATCCAATGCATTCCCCTTAAGGAAAGCTCTACCATGAGAACACTGTCCAGTCTTTCTTGATTGTGTAGCAAAAAACTTTAATGTATACGTGCAAATGTACATACCTTACTGTTCTTCACTGGTGGTCTGGCCTCACCCTGTCAAGTTTCCTGATTCCAGAATGTTTTTGAAGGACTTTTAATTTTTTGGCTTTTTACAAATTCTTTAAATTATCTCTGACCTGCTTTTTTGAGTATTCTACATTTGGTTTATTAGCATTTGTCCTTTGAGGTTAGAGATGTGTTCAGCTTTTCAAGTGATACCTCTTTTAATACCTCTACTTACCCCACTGTTCTAGCCTTACTGAGCTCCTTTTGCCCTTTCTCAAACTTTTTATTTTTTGACAATTGTTGTGTACTTGCTCTGACTTCCCATAGGATTTCTCTAAATGTCTTCCCATATTGTGTATATACATTTCACTCTTAAATATTTTTAAACATAATTTATATAGCTGCCCTTTTTCAAATTAAGCAATACCAGAACTGATATGTTGTTTTTGCACAGGTATGCAAAGGGTCCTATTCAAGTGGTTCCTCAGAATATTGAGTCAGTTTCTGTTCATTGTTCAAGTCCATCAAACTTCTTTAGTTCCCTGATTAACTTCTTAATGAAATAACAATTTACAGTTTCTAAAAATTTACTCTTGACATCGTACCCTGATATGGCTCAAATCTGCGTGGTGGTAATTGAACTCTCCTGTTATTGGGTTTCCTATCTCTGCACCTTTCTAGTCTCCTCCAGCCTGGTGCAGTAAATGGAGTGGTGTAACACAAAAATGTCTCATATTCATTCTTTCTACAGTAACTCTTATAAAAAGCACATAAATCGTCTCCTAATATAAGAGAAATATTTCCCACCCATCACCACTCCAATCCTATTAACTGTTTTTGAAATGCAGAAAAGACCTTCTCATCACATGGATCTGGTGTTCTAATTACTCTTCAAGAATAAATCTATGTTGGCTCTAAAAACTGTACCTTTTTTCCCCTCCCTCAAATGTTTTTCCATGTTCTTCAGCATGTCCCATTTCCTGCTGCTTTCATTTGGACCTCTGAAGGATGCCATGAAGATGATGGCTAGTGATTCTTGAATCTTTTTACTGACTTTTTTTTACTTGGTATTGACTGTTGTCTATGCCAATAGGTTCATTACCCTTTCTTTGGCTTCACTTGGAAAGTATCACATTTGCTATTTCTTTATATTACTTCAGCAGGCTGTGTCTGGGAACTTCACTGCTCACCCCTGCCCCCACTACAATGAAGTCAAATAAGCAGCTGGTACCATGTCCTGAGGAGGCATTCTACAGATTAGCCAAAACCAAGTAATAAGCACAGTTTTAAATCACTTACTCTCTAGGCTTGTTTAAAATACTTTGACTGTGTTTTGATCAGTAATTAGAATTAATAAAATCTATCCTGATTGTATCAAGTATTTATGTTTTTGCATTCTTCATTTAGTGATGCGTTTTTCCAAATACTAATTATTTGTGATAAAATGATTATATTTTTTCTGATAAATTTGCCAGTGAGAATGACTTATATGAAATGGGATAGAAAATCTTAAGGCCAAATCTGGATCTTACTTTATAATATTGTTTAAGCTGGAAATTTCTACTGAAATCAGGACAGTATTTTCACTCTTACTATTGAGATTAATTAGATGATGACTTGATAGGTAGAAAGGTAGTGTAGAGCTTGTGCTTGTTTTTTTTTTCTTCTATATATCTGTTACAGTAAGGGTGTGACTTCCTTGGAATGAGTCTAGATGCCTACAGAGCAGTGATTTAAACTCAATTATAGTACATGGGATGAAATGATCTCCTTTAAAAAGGAGACGTCTATTAGCAATGTTTTAGACATCCTGTTTAAAAGTGAATAAATAATGGAAATTTCTCACAGATTGTACCTCTGAGTCTCTCCCTTTACTATAGGGAGACGGAGGGAATGCCACCTCTAGATGGATCAAATATTTTTGAAAACTGCTTTGGTTTAGGTCTGAGATTTTTTTCATCCATATGTTAAGTGTCCAAAGTAATGGAATGCAAGTCAATGCTTATCATTATTTCAGAACTTTAAAACCCAATACACTGTTATTTCTTGTTCTTAAATAAATATAGGACATCAGGTTGTATCTTACTATCACCCTGCACATTTATTACATGTTTGAATGTTTCATGCAACAGCTGGAAATCTCTTCTTTAGAACCAGAAGAAAATGTAGTTTTTGTGACCCACTCAATCTCTTACATGCAGTGTGATCTTTCAGTTGCATTTAGGAGCTTACGCAGAATCAGAAGGGAGTTGCAACTGATTTGTCTGTGCAGGGTTTGAGTACGATATAGCCTGACAGCTTCAAATTAACCTGTTACTCTATGATTGTGGTTTGACATACTATAAGTCAAATTCTAGTGAAGCTGACTGATTTCAGCAAATTGGTTTGGGTGTCTCTGTATGTGAGAATGGCTCAAGCTAGTGAGAACCTCATCACTGAATCACATGCCTAGTTTGTATCTTTCAGTATTTTTTTGCATAATGTGTGTAATTGGTTTAAAGCATAGAGAATTATATGTTGCAATTGAGTTAAAGCATACTGAAAAGTGACAAACTGTAAACCTCTTTTAGACTTTTTCTGGCTGTAGCAAAGCAAAATTGTCATGACATGGGGGAGGGAGCGGTTGGAAGAGAGGCTAAGGGTGTAGTATTTAATGGTAAGTGATCCATGTATTCACAGGGGCCGTGGAGGAGTGCCTCCGCCACCAGCAGGAGTACCGAGAGGGGCACCAGCACCCAGAGGAGTGCCTCCCAGTAGAGGACCAGTCAGTCGTAGCCGTGGACTTCTAGCACCCAGAGCAAGGGGAGTACCTCCACCTGCAGGTTACCGACCCCTGCCACCACCTCCAGCACAGGAGACATACGGTGAATATGTAAGTTGAGTTGTTAACATACTGTGCATAAAGTGTATGATTTTGGAGGGATGATCATAACTATTGCTTTAGAAGTCAGTAGAATCTCTTTAATTAGTACTTAATTAGGTACTAATTAAGTACAGAATCTGTGGCGGATGTGGTCATCTCTTGTCACCCTTTCAGACTTGAACTGTTTCATATTAATAAAGCTTCCGGTTATATGTACTACTGTAAAGACATTTACAGTGCATTTGACAAAGTAGTTATGTACCTCTTAAACATATTAGGTTTCTGCTTTACAAAAATCTGAAAAATCACTTTGTCAGTAGATTTTTAATTCTCAACTAAAACTGAGAATAATATTCTGCTCTTTTTTCTAAAGCTATCTTTGGTCATGTAACTGTTCAGCGATCAGACAATTAAAATATTTTTATAAAAGCTTCAGAATTGATCCTAAAATTTTAACAATGTACAGTGCATCCCAATAAGCCATAGATATTTATCTTGCTTTTATTGTATTAAAAATTAAAAACCATATCAAAACACTTTATATTGTACATGACTGAAAACTATAGGCAGTTATGAATTATTAGGGTAAATTTAATTTAAATTGAACTTACAGAGCAGTGAGGTAAAGAAAAGCTTATTAAATCAAAACTATTGTCATATTACAGAAAAATAACATTTTTCAAGGGCAGTGCTTTTAATGGCTTATATATGTTAAAGCTTTTTGTGTGCCCTCTTTACAGCTAAGTCTGTCTGGACATTGTTGTTCAGACTAATGAGAAAGGAGTTCCTGAATTCAGAAAATGGTTTTGCTATTTAGACATTTTTTGCTTTTCTCAACCTTTCTTGCACCTGCCTTTTCCTCTCTCCTTTCACCACCCCCCAAAAACCCTCTAAATCAAATCTCAACCTTTGTCCTTTTGATCAGAAACCTAATTTTCTATATAACACTTACAGCTTTATGCAGAAAAGTTTAGTGTCATTAGTACAAACATTTATAGATGTACCTGAACAATTCAGAAGAAATCAATGTAATTTATTTTTATGACAACTAGTACTTGAAGAGTGTATCTAAATGTCCCTGGCTATACCTGACTTGACTAGTCAAGGTGGGTACTGCAAATAAGTAGTTATTTCACAGTGCTTTCAAATAAATTATTCCTCATTAAACAGCCTGTTTCCAGCACGTACACTGTAGAACACATGGTGATGTGGTAGAAAATAAACCTCTTTGACTAACTTCATATTTATATATACCTGCTGTTTATACTGTGTATATAGAAGTGGCATGGAAATAACAGCTGTTTGAATCTGTATCCTGATGTATGCTTCACTTCTGAGAGAGAATAATTAGAAAAATAACATTATAAAGAAAAATAATGCTGTGCTAAGTAACTTCTAAAAAGAATGTTCACTAGAACTGGATCACTTATCTTCCAAGCAAGATACCTTACCTGAGATAGATATATTTAAAGCTGTAATTGATAAAACAATGCTAGCTGGTTTGCTTTAAAATTACCGTATTTCCTGTGTCGTCTTTGTTAAAATGATGATTCATTAAAACTCGTTAAAATAATGTGAAACTATGCAAGTTCAGGAAGAAGCAAACTATATTCTGGATGGAAGCCTTCAGCCACAATCTTCTGTAACTCTGTAAATATCTCAAAGATGATGCAGGGCTTTTAGTACTTGTAGTCCTTGCCCATTTTCTCTGTGGAGTACTATTAAGTATACCTTGTGAGAGAAAATGAGACCATCGAGTCACAAACAGCCTCCCTTTTCCTTTGTTTCCATTGCTAACTTTTTGCTGTAGTCTTTGAGACCAATGTATTTTAACATCTATGAGGAACTTACTCTGGCTCCTGCCTATCCTAATCTCTCTCCTTCCTCCTTTTGATTGTCTAAGAAGTTGTTTTCTAAAACACAACATCAAAATGGGAAGGGGAATACCTGTTTCACTCTAAAAAAAAAATTGGAAGAGTTAATTCTGGAGGCAGTATCTCACATGGGGAAAATCATGCCGCAGGCAAAAAATCATTAATTTGAATTTAGATGAATTTTAATGTGGGCTCAAGATCAGCAAAACTAGGTGGCTATTGTGGTCCTGTGCTTGGAGCCCGTAGGGAAGTTGTCTAGAACTTACCTCTTACAGAGGTAGACCTCTGTCAACTTTCTGGGATGTTTGTAGTGCTGCCTCTGGATGTTTGATTTTGTTGCCTCTGCAGAAGTCATGCAACATCAGCAATACCTGCACATTTTTTCAGTTCAATATAACTAGTTTTCCCACTCCACTGTTGCCAGTGTCACTTATGTGTATCTCTCAGGCCCAGGACCCATTCCTTCTGGGGCCTCACCATACTGTTAGTACCATGATGAAGTTTTTGAAGCCACTAAATGACAGTTCCTTATCACTTTCTGTGAACATTGTCTCTTTAATAGCTGTAGCATCTGCTTAGATGATAGGAAAAATTCAGGCCTCTACAGCCAGCCAACTTTATAATCACTGTTCTAACCTCACGGTTCTGTATGGTGTGATAAGCTTTCTCTGAAGGCTAACATGCCTCCCATTTTTGTCCTCAACCACTCAGGTAAGGAGAAAGCCTAGTATGATGTGTGAAGCATGGCCAGGATTATTTTTATAATACTTGGATAAGGGAAATCGTACTAGGTGGTTGCTAGATTTATTGAGGCACTTACAGATAGTTTCAGGGACATTGTTCTCTTAATTATATGAGGATTTTTGTCTACTTATTGAACCAAACTGTGTAATAGATAAAAATACTTTCATGTATTTTTAAGTTGACAATTTATGCCATTAAGATAAGAAATAGAAAATGTATTTAACTACTAACTGGAAACTTGAAGCTTTTCCATAATTTTCAATAAGCAGGAAATTAGAACAATATGCTAGCAATTCGCTGCTCTTTAATAGTGTCAATTCCTTAGCAAGTCATCAGTCAAACATAGGTTAAAACATAACTATTCAGTCTCAGATACTGTCTAGTAACAGTTGCTGCTCTCTACCTCTTCATGTTGTCCTCTTTTTACCAGCTTCAGACCTTTGAGGCTTTTTCCAAATTAGTAACACAGCAATGAGACTGAAGCTTTTTTAAGGTTTTTATTTGCTGCTATTTTCATTTTAAAGGGAAATATTTTGCAGATATTCTATAAATATTTCAGTTCTGTATTTCCTGTGAATATTTGATGATACCATGTCAAGTCCTGTTTTGACTGCTTAAATGTGTTAAATGAAGAGTACAGTTTATCTGCATTCATAATCAGATTTTTAGGCATTAAGAATTGGACTTTAAACATGGATTTAAAACCTATTGCTGTGGCAGTGTGGAATGTCTACACTGAAAAATAAAACTCATCAATCTAGCAAGTTATGGCCAAGACTTGCTTCAGCACTACTCCAGAAAGCAATCGAATCCAAATGTTCCTCCCTAGTGTGTATACGGGAAAGTTGTGGCAGAGCTTTAGTTCTGTTTCTGGCAATTTTATTGATGTTTTCTTGTGTTCAGACAAGGGTTACCTCAGTGGCAGATTTTTTCTAACGCAGTGACCACATGTATAATTTCTAGCAGTTAGTGCTTCAATTAGAATACTTCAGTGAGACTGCTTTGTGTAATACAAAATTGAATTAAGATGGAATGTCTACCAGTAAGAGACCTAGAGAGCCTTTCTAATGTTAAGTAAATTGTAACTTGAAAAAGAACATTATGGACTATTTCCAATTACATACCTTTAAGTTAAAAAAATCTTGGTATTTTTAACTTAAAGATTTTTTTAACTTTAAGAGTACAGGCTACTTAAAAGGATGTACAGAACACTTGGGTGGAAAAAAATACTGATAACAAACTTCAAAATCTGTTCCTTAAAAATCTATGTTTAGTTATTGCCTGATTCTGGAAGATCCTAAAGCTTAGGGATTGCTAAGGTTTTAAGCTTTATAGTTCCTGAAGCAATGCATTTCTGAATATTTCCAGAAATGCATTACTTTTACTGATAGACAAAGCAGTGCTTCGGACTTAAGCTTGTAATTCTCATGCTAAGTCTCTTAGACTATACTTACCTTACGTATACTGTAAGGTATTAGATATTATAATAGTATGAGACTGTGCTCATAGTGTTTCCCACAAGAAATAGGGAAGACCAAAAAGACATTGCCATAACATACTATCTAACAAGATCTCACACAAAACAGTGAGGTGATATGGTGCTGTATGTCTCTTTGTAATTGAAAGCTCAGTAGTATTCTAGTAGTGGAAGGCTCTTGGTTCAAATTCCTGTTGCAGGTATTCATATTCCATTAGTTATCTCTGGAGATGGTGTGCTGACTGCCAGGATACTGGCTGTCTTAGTTTACACAGTGTCAGGAACAATGGCTTCTATCCTTTCGATTTTGCAAGAAATCCTTACAAATTTGTGGAAGGACTTAAGGGAATTTTGTTCACGAGTAACATTTGGCTGGATGACTAAGAACAAAATCTATTTCATGATCCAGTGATTATTATAAAACATGTGTTATGTAGCCATTAGTGAAAAGAATGAATGCAAAGTCTTACTATTTACAAGTGAGAGCCTGTTCAGTTGAATAACCTATAGCCTATTATTTAGTGCATCTTAGAAAGCTAGTGTAAATTCTCTGTTTTGATCTACAGTGAGCTTGAATTCCCTGTCTCCTCACGGAGATCATGTTTAGTTTAGATTTTGAAAAACTGAAAAGTAGGATTAATGTGGAAGCAATTTCATGGAGCTATTAATAAAGTGCTGATTTTGCATGGTGAACTGTTTTTAAAGTAGACTTTTTTCATTAACATTCATTTGCTCACTTGCTGTTCATGGTTGAAGAAGGAAAGATCTGCAGGAAAAATGCGAAAACTTCGTGTACCGTATAAAAAACACCAAGCTTTTTATTTACAAATAAATGTTTCCTGGATTTGAGGTGACAAAATATTAGGCAGAGTCCAGATGACATAAGACTTAGAAAAGAATTTAAATTCTGCCTG